ATGTTTTTCGGTGATAAAGTTAAGTTCACAGGTGAAACAATTCGAACCTTATTGTGTAGTCTTTAGGACTGGCAACTAGAACTGGGAAACAGTAAAGAAGACGAGTGACAACACGAGAATAAACATATTTGGTAAGTTTATACAGTGAAACTTTTAAAGATCGCGAGCGGGAAATAAAGAAACACAATTGTCGAATGTTTTAAAAGTAGATTCACTATATGATGTCCACGTGAGATCTTGGTACATAGTAAGTAACATTGAGGAATTGCAGGGAACGTCCAGAGGACTAGACGGATTGTCAACACAGAGTACAGAACAATTTCTTTTAAAAGAATATACCGGTTCTCCTTTCACTAGTGAGAAGATGATATCCCTGCATATACAGACATCGGTAGATAATTTAGAATACGAAGACCATAAGTTTGAGACATATCAACTGGTTTGAAGCGTTGAGAAACGGAAATCGCCGAGAAATTTGGAGCTTATGGTTAAAATCATCAACATATTTGATAAGAAAATCATCTGAGTCTGTGGGTGGGTCTTGGATAGAGAAAGGGAACAGAAAAGGGGATAGTAATGCTCCCTGAAGTACCCCTGAATTGACCCATATCAAGTCAGAAATTTTTTGAAGTGTGTTCAACCAGTAAAACATTTGGATTAGAGACAGGGTAGTATTGGGCTATCCTGCCCCGGCCGACACAATTAGAAGCATTATTATAGTCGAAGAAATACACGAAATACTGCACCTTACATGTTTAGGGATTTTAAAACTGAATTTTACAAAAGCACAAGGGCGTCTAAGGTAGATAGATAAGTAAATTGACTGTGATCTAACGGCTCAGTAATTTTACTAATGTTACTAAGCATAAACTTTTCAGAAAAATTTAGTAAAAGGGAAATGCAGCGGATTGGTCGAAATTTTTAAAACTGATATGTGGTCTCCAACAGTCGACATTATTTGTTCCTCGAAGCAACGGTTGAAAATACCGGTAAGTGGCTCCGCCATATAATGCATACATTCCCTGAGGACGACTGGACGTAGTCCGTCGGGACCGGATGCTTTTGATGTTTTGAGGCACATCAGTTGTGCCCTGCACCTGATTAGAATTAACATGCTAAACTTAATGATGGTCAACTGATTGGAAATATGGTTTTGATACGTCCGTTTGAGTTGACGTCGAAAACATCCAGTTGAGTTCAGCTGCAGTTGATTGAGGCCCGTGTAGTCTGACTTTTGCCATAGAGCTTTTTCATAGCACTTCAGATTTGCTTGCAAGTCCTATCACCAATTAGAGTTTCAGTGTAGAGTCTGTCCAGATTTTGAGTCGCGTTCCCGATCAGCACTGACGTTTGTTTAACTAAATAGCTCGATCACGATTTCTACATACATCTCCATTCTCTGATCCTTCTGAAGGTCTTCAAAGTGGAGGAAGAAAATCCGACGGGGCTGATGTACATAGGGGTCATGGTGCAACGGGAGGTGAAAAAAGAAATTCCAAATGGCTAGTGAAATGTTCACACTCGACCGAAAAAAATACTTGGGTCAACGAACTGATCAGAATTTGTACGAGAGACCTCTTATTTAAGTGACGCCGCGTGCCAAATGGCTCGGAACGGCTGCTCCAAGCCACATAACTGGCTTCATTTGATTTGAATTCTAGAAAAAGTTGGTGGTGGAGTAGTATGGCACGTTTTCCGAGGTAATATTTGACATTTTTGGTTATATTTTTTCAACGGTTTAAGCTAGAAAGTGAAAATTTCGTTTTCAGACTGGTTGCTTGTCTAACCAAAAATGGTTTGTATACTTTACCCAAAAGTGAAGATGCTGCAAAAACCCGGATGTCCCGGAGGGGCTTGTTTTCAAGGTTGAGATGAAAATGATAGTTAGTGTGGCACATTATCATTCAATAAAAATTAGCCCCTGAGTTGTTATGTCTTGTTTCCATCACTAGGTGACAGTATGACTTACTAAACCCTTAATACAACAGGATAACTCAGAATTCTCCATAACCATCAGTTTTTAGAATTCACTCAGTCGGTTATTGTAAAGTACAGCTATTAGTCGCCCGCCTACAGTTTATGCCTCCACAATCCTCATTGTGAACTTTTGTGGTTTGAGAAGAAGGACTGAATACACAGAACCTTTTTCTCCTCATATATTTGAAAGGTGATTCCTGATTAGTGACGATCAATCTCCAGCTCCCTTTTTTATTTATTTTTGATACGTCTCCGGTGTTCGAGCTATCGTTTTTGTGACAGTCTTTGAAACGCTTCAACCTAATGATGGAAGCCTAATGTACAGACAGTTACCATGATTGATGCAATCTTCCAGGCTAATCCAATGCGTGTATACATGTATATTCTTTGGAATAGACAGGTTATTTATGTATTCTTTGATATTCGAACGAATGTTCCTACCAAAACAGCGCTTACTACCAGCTGTGATTTTATAGAGGTTGGCTATTTAGTAGTGACAGTTTTTCAGATATTGCGCTACTTTTGTGGCTCAGTCATTTGCGAGGATGTGCTCTATTTGTCATTTCGTGATGACACCAACCAGTGAACTGTTCACCACCACCACAGCTTTCTTTCTACAAGCCAATAGGAATGGTGAAATAAGAACCAACGATGGAACGATCCAGAATATGAAAAAAAGAATAACAATCCCAGTTTGATTGTCTGGTTTCAACTAATGAGCTTCTGTCAGACGTGCGACTTTTTCATGTTTTGGTAAGTGAACTAGCAACCTTGGGGACAGCAAAAGCGTTGTTTGACATTTCTTTTAATGATCGGATTTAAAGGTGATTGACCGTTATAGAACATCTTGACGAGTATTTTAGAGTATCAAACTTGGATTAGACTATTTGCTTGTTCATAGACACCAGACACTCTTGTTGGTTTTATACTCTAAAATTGATTGAGCTATTCTCACAAGGTGATGATTGTTGACCGTGTAGCCCAGGGGTAAGGGTTTGAAGTCCCAACCCGGAGGTTCACGGTTCGAGTTCTGACAGGGAGGCAGAATGTGCGCACAGATAACGAGCCTCAAAAAGGACGAAGTAGCTGTCCGGTAATCTCTTTTTGTCGGTTATCACAAACATTTCCATCGCGTTTTTTCTTGATGCGTAGTTTTCACACAATGCTGCAGATTTAACCGATTGTTCATGTGAAGTTGTAATCAGGGCTTGAAATAATGAGCTTTTCACCGCCATCATCTGCGGCACAGTAAATTCATACCATCTGTTTTTCAGCTTTCTGGAGGCTATCTATGGCTTCATCTATGGTCAAGTATAGTAGAGATGGTATCTCATCTTGTCTTCGACCCCGCATTACTCGATTCGATTCGGGTAACTCGATGGGCACGTTTACGAGCCCGAAGAAAACTAAGTGAAACCGTTAGAGGATTACCTTNAAAATAAAAGCTTGTCTGCCTGCCGCTTTTGCTCATCGTATTTGACTAGCCGTGGCTTACGTCTCACTCAAACGCGGATTCTCAAACCCACTGAAAAAGTCAATCCGAACTAGGCCCGTGATAACAGCAATCCAAACAAGCCCGCACCTGTTAATCCACTCATATCAATTCACTGTGCGTCTGAGTAATCGGTGCGCGTTGAACATGTCGCTCTGAATTGGTATAACGCAGTAAACGTGCACGAAGCCAAAAGCCACACGCCATTGATGGTGATTATCACATCTGACAGTCATTGTTATATACTGCTCATGAGTAGTGAAGCACAATGCTACTGCAGGTTCTAAAAGCGTTGTTTGCACACCCGGCCTATAACAGCACTAAAGGGACTCCGTAGACCGAAATGGAGTGCTACAACTGCATTCATTGTTTCCATGTGTGCACCGATTGGTTACTAAACATGCTTGACAAAGTTCGCCTCAATTGTTTGCTCATAGTAGTTGCTTTCAATCATGAACCGTGCATTTTGGGAAGCGTACGTACCCACATAACTTTCGATACACCCCCACTACGGCCTGGCAACTGGGTTATTTTTAATCGCTCTGTGCTCGATTTGAACTGATTCCCTAGATCAATGAACTTATTCACTTGCGAAATGATAGGCACTCGGCTTTGATCGAGCGCGAACAATTGCCTTAACCATTCACCGAGTAACACGTAACCTTAAAAAATCGGTTAACTGAAGACCACACTCGAGGTCATTAAATCGTTGTCCACTGAGTTGAAGCCGGGTACCATACCTCTGAATCGCATCAATAGTAGCATTAGCCATATGACCGGGTAGTTTGCATCACCCCAACGCTACTCTCTACACAGACCCGCAAAACAGTAAAAACAAAGAACAAGTGTTCACATCAACTCCATGCGTCTTTCTCAGAGTAGATCGTTTAATTCGATCGTTTAAACTGGCGTTTGTTGGCCATGCGTAAGTTTGATCGTGTGAATGTATGCACCATTCGTCTCGTGTTTCGTAAATAGGACAATAACTGTAAAAAGCGATGAAGAATCAGAACAAGAACAGGAACAAGAACGCGGAGAACGGACAACAAGTGCAAACAAGTGTCCGGGGCGGGAAGTGTGCAAATTGCTTTCCTGGTCTCTCATAAACAGGGCGCAGCACATTTTTTCGGATCGGTTCATCCAGTAGCAGGTGTGTGTGTGCCGGCGTTTCAATAAGCAAACACGGACGAGATGCTGAACATTCGTTAACAGTTTATCCAGCTTCAAACCAACCGGAACCATGGTACTCACCCGACCCGTGTGACTTGTTCCGCTAGATTGAGCCGGAATAAAATCGACCGGGGCCTATTCGTCCGTCAACCACATTGTGCTGCACGTTGCCATGCTACCCATCGTCAGAGTTCGCGATAATATTTCTGGTAATTTTCGGGGCAGCGGCGTTACTTCCGACACGGATTGATCGGTGCACCGCCCTGTGTGGCGGAGCGATGAGAGCCAACCCAAGGATTAAATGAGCGGGGAATGAGAAACGCGCACACATTGTGGGACAGATAGAGCGCGCGCGCGCGCGCTAGAGAAGGCACACGAGATCACGGAACAAATCCCCGGGGGATGAAAATTCTGACATGAAGCAACTTGCCTCGGTATCATGATAAATAATAATCCAACCGCGAGGAGCAGCAGTGCATCGTGAGAACAATGCAGGCGATCGAGTAGCTTCGGGGACTTGAGGAGGCGACGCATAAACGAACCGAGCACACTTTGTCGGATAGTATGAATACAGACCCGGATAAACCAAGAGGCGTTTTGGATAGACTGATTGGGTAGACGGACAGGACAAGAACGATAGAGGAGCAGAAAGACCGATCTGGACCAGATCGAATCAAAGACAAGAAAGAAACTGAAACGGCCCGTAGTGAGGAACAAAATCCGAGAGAAAGAAAACAAGCAATCGCGAGACAAATAAATAGCTTGTTTATGCTGTTTCTGGTGTATCCCGTTATGCGATAAGATGAAACTGATGAAAACCGTCAAACGGCGGAGAAGAGAAGACGAGGCACTGAAACAGACCGTGCGAGAAAAATAAACAGAAACCGACCCGAATGTCGGCGCGATCTGTGTGTGTGTCTCAGTTTGCGAATGTGTTTTGTGTCCATAACTACACACAAACAGACCTGAATGAAAAGGCACGGACGTACAAACGAATGGATGCGCGAATGCAT